CTTTACACGCAGAATCAGATAGTGTGTTGAAATTTATAAGACATATTATGAGTAAAGAGGGCTTAGGCAATTCGACACTCACAAGACATATTAAAGTCAAAGGGGCTCTTCTTCTGGAAATTGTTGAGGAAGAGAAGGGTTTTCCCCGTCGTATAGATGCTGTGCTTGTAGCATCTGTCCTGTGCCGGTGGTCTTCTCTCCAGCCTTGCGTTCTCCACCCCACTCTCGTTGCGTGGTCAGAATCCTCGGACTTGTTCCGTAGCAACTGTTCCGTAGCGGTGGTATGACCGGCCTGATTAGCCCAAACAAGCTATGGCCAGCTTGGACCAGTGGTCCGATTGTCTCTATCTTAAGTCCCACGTTTAAATATGACCTTGCGTCACAACCTCACTCAGTGGCGAGTCAAGGTAAATACAGGACATATTGAAATCATGAAAAACAAAAAAATACCGGACATATTGAAATCATGAAAAAAAAAGAAGAAATTCGTAACGTACCTAACGAGCATGATCGTCCTCGACCTGAAAGGACATGGTACATAGAAGAAGAAGAAGAAGAAGAAGAAGTAGTAGTAGTAGTAGTACTAGAAGAATAAGAAGAACAACAACAACAACCATCATCATCATCGTCATCATCATCATCATTTCAACATTTTCATTATTCATCAAGATTATTGGTGAAATAACATTTACTTCCAGATAACATATTCTATATTATTGAATACCGCCTTTTCTGGTGTGTTTCTTCGGGATGCATATTGCATTCAACCTGTTATCTTTTCACCCAAGTTTTGAATAATGACCTAAGTAGATCTTGAAAATAGTTAAATATTTTCTTCGCCTCGTTCCTATACGTTACTAAAAAGCCTAGTGGTTTACTCTTCTTACATATTTGCTTTGGTGTTGGATCTCGTGATGTTTATATATATATATATAATAATTATGGCAGGCAAAAGGTCGTGTCTACTCTAAGCGAACTAGTTTCAAATTTGGACTTAGTCTTTTTGTTGCGGTCACGTCCTCACATATTCCTCTGAGAAAATGTACGTATTCATTTTTCGTACCCACTAACAATAAGCTAAACAGCAAATTAAATTCAGCTATCACTGGGTAAGAGAACATCTAAAAGAAAGACTAATCTTAAGCCATTTTTTATAATATAATGCTCTATACATGTTGTTAATAAGTATGGTCATTTGTTATACCCCAGTTATTTTTTATGGAATTATAACAATTACAGAATCAAGTTGACAATAATGAAACACTTTTGTTTATTACTATTACTAATAAGAATTGTAATTAATACATACAAGCTTTCACAGCACTATAATCACTCTTTCATAGGCAGCCTATGAAGTTTTCATCACAGCCTCGTAAGTGACAATATGTCATTGCAAATAACGGTGAATATATAATTGAAAAAATAAAACGTGCTTTATTTTTTTGAAGAATAACTTTGATAAAAATAAATGAAAATTATTTATCTTAACTTACTAGTTCTGATTTAAAGTTTTCATGAGTTATATATTTCGATTGACACGCCGGCCGTTCCATGGAGTTCAATATATTCGAGTATATATGTAAGTGAAAAATAGAGATATAAGAAGATAAATGATAAAGAAAAGAAGAAGAGAGAAAGTTTTGGAAAAAAAAAGAAAAAACAAATGTTGAAAAGAGAGTGTAGAGATCGTTTCCATGCTCAGATATTTATTTCTTATTACATTATGAAAAAAAAAAAACGTTTCTGTAAATTCTGACGCGAACTTTGTCTCGTGAATTTAAACGCAACAGTGAATAATGTCGTGTGCAATCGGTAGGTATTTTCGAAAAGAACGTGCGTTAGGGCAATTGACATATAAGCAAATTCAATCCTCTATTAGCTGAGATACACATGACTTTTTTTGTTTTCCTTGTTTGCTTAGAAGTTTGAGATTTTTGTTTGTGTATATGCTTTATTTGCTTGTCAAAACCAACTGTCATAATACGTATCCATGACGTTTTTAAAATGCACCAGCCATTCAAATATTTACATTTTGTTTTTTAGCTGGACTCATATTCCATTGTTCTTTTTCAGGCTTATATTTTTGCTGCTTTATTTTCTTATTTTTACTTTTCCCTGTCTTTCGGATACGCCTAAATTTTTCAGGCTTCCTTCTTCAAAATAGGTTTTAACTTATATTTTCTTTTCTTATTATTTATTAAGCTTAGCTCATTCCGACACAATGATATATAGAGAAACGAGAAGTGAAATATTGTGTTCTATCAATCATACGAAGAGGGGAGGCATGGGCGTTTTGTTAAAACTTTACTTTTTCTATATGCCGTGTCCCTTCAGGCTGTTGGTGATCATGGCTCTCCACAATTTCCTGAATTTTGTAGCTTTTAATAAATGGGGCCTTTTGTTATCTCTCCGAGACCTTGTTCGGGAAACTATTTGCTCAAACTCGCTAAGTAGGTTATGCCTCGTTTTCATTTGTCCTACTTTTCTTCAGTCTCTCCTGTAGGTATCAAATTTTCCAAGCTCTCAAACTTCATTCAACATTCGAAATAATCGTATATTGGAATCAGAGCACATCTCGTATAATTTTTTTTTTTTTTTTTTTTTATGTGATATGCCTTTTCAGAATATGGAAGATCATGAATCGCAACAAAAACATTTGGCTGGAAGCCGGATGATCAATAAAATTTATACATACTATTACCAAAAGATAGCTGAAATTTCAAGGCTGTATAAAGAGGAATGAGTATCAAGAGAATTTAGCAAAAGAAGCAAGGGTAAGAACAGGTATGTACTCAAAGACTTTTTCTGTTTCCATGGTAGAAAAGTGCTCAAAGACTTTTGATAATGAATGGTTGAAAAAGGACAAATGTGTATCATAAAAATAATGATAGAGAATTTTTTTTTAATATTTAAAGCAAAAAATTGAGAGAAATGTTTGAACAACCATGAACGCACATGTCCTTAAAGGACACGGTACCAGAGAAAATAAAGGAAAAAAGCTACTTTTTCAAACACAGGTTCGCGTACGACGAGCGAAATTAAGGAACTTCGAGCCTGGTCATGAATAAACATGTCCTATAAAATTTGATGCGCAGGCGACGTAATGGATGACGGCTCGGAAAACCGAGTTCAAATTCCAGTCGGGTTTGTTGTATTTACTTACGTGCAAGTATATTTCAGATAGACATGGATCAACATCTTCTCCAGTTATGGTCTAATTAGAAGGATATGCATTAGTAAAACTTTATTATCTACCAAATATTCTGAAACTCTAAAACTATTTTTCAGGTTTAAATAACTTTTAAGAGGTTGATAAGCCGTGAAAAACAAATCAAAACTTTCTTCTTTATATATATATTTATTTATATTCCTTGAGAAATATTTGCGTTTTCGTTTTTTCTTTCTACTTCCTATCACTTTTCTATTTCTTTCCGTGATTAAGTGTAATCATTTTTTTTTTCTTGCTTTTTTCTTTCTTTGCCTTTTGGCTATTTAGATTTTGGTTTGTTTTGCATTCTTATATCTTTATAAATATATTTCTACTTTCTTACGTTATGTTTTACCGTGAGTCTTCATCTTTTCTGCTCCTCGTCTTTTCCATGACATAAACGATTCTTTCTTTTTCTTGTTCTGCTTCGTTTTTCATTATTCTATCCGTATAATTTCCCCTTTAAAGTCTATGAATTTTTTTTTACATAGAATTTAATTCTAGTTTTATTTCATTTATTATTCATTTCTATTCAATTCACACTTTTTAAAAAAGCAAGACAACACTGAAAAAAAAATTGAAAGCAATCCAGCTTTATCCACCCCCCACCAAAAAAAAAACAACAATTGATTGATCTTAAATAATCTCATAAAGATTGATAGGTCGTTAAACATTAAACAAAATAATCAATTCACACGTATTCAAAACGTATATAGCTTTAGCTTTCATTCTTAAAGTCCAAATAATTTGCAATGTTATCGGGTCTGAACTGGCATCTTGGCTATAGTTATTTCCCAACTTCGGAACGTAGCTTCATTGGGCCTTGCTTATAAATATTGTCATTGTAATTGTTCTGTTGGGCTTTCATCTTTAGTAACTAGATTTTACAACTTAAACCCAGTAATAGATTGGTAGCTAAACAAATTAAATACAGTACCCCAAAATATATTAAATGCAATATAAAGGGAAAAATAAAACAATGGTTGCGTGATTTGAATAAGTTTGTATCATCGATCATTTGGGTTTGGCTTTGGTTGGCGTCTCCCGTTGGATAAGCTCAAGCTACTCAGTAGTATGCTCTGTGCTTCTTCCGCTTTTGTATCGCTCGATCGCCGGATGATGCAGCTCGTTTACATTTCACGCCTGTGAAAAATAAATAAATTAAATGTCAATCGTTATCTTCTGTTTTAATTCTTTTACTTTTAGATATTTTCTTCTTCATAAAGTTTTTCATTTTCTCGTATTATTTCATACCCAGTAACCCCATGCGTCTTAGTGGTTTTGTAGCCCTGCTCGGGGTGAAATGATTAAAAACTTAATCAAGATGTGCTTAAATTTCTTTCGTCCATAACTAAAGTGTTCTTGATATTTGCTATGTTTTCGTTTTACTTTACATCTCTTCTTTTATAGATTTCTAACCTTCTGGTGTTTTAATTCTTTTCACATTTCGAGTTCTTATCGATGTTTCTCGTTTCGTTTTTTTTTTGTTTTTGTTTTTTTGTTTTTTGATCCATTTCTTCAATTGTTACTCTTATCTTTTTCCTCCTTTTTCTTTATTTTTATATTGTAATTTTTGTCGCTTTGTTCTTCCTTTTTTCTTTTATAATTTTGTTTTTCTGTTGTTTGCCTTACTTCTTACGATGTGCTTTTCTTATGGACGACTCTTATTTCTTTCTTTGATCTCTTTCTTCAATATTTACTCTTAGATTTGGAACTATTTTCTTTTTTTGTTCTTTGATTGCAGTACTTTGTAGATTTCCTCTATTTCGTTTTCTTCCATAATGATTTCTAGTTTCATTGTTCCATTTTCTTTTACGGGCTTCTTTCTCATGACTGCCTTCATTTTCTTCTTTCTAGCGCCGCTTCAATTTTTACATTTTTCTTTTATAATATTTTTATTCATTCTTCTATTGCAATTCTTAGATGTTTTGATATTGTTTTCTTTTTTATAAATTCTTATTCGTTCCCTCGTCTTCTTTCTTACATTTTGTATCTTTCTTGTGACTTTCTTTATTATATTTTATTGTTTATCTCTTCAAGTATTACACTTATATTTCTGAAAACTTTTATCTGTTCTTTGTTTGAAATTCATTGTCGCTTTGCTCAATCGTATGTCTTTCTTTATATTTTTAATTTATAGTCCTCTTTATTCATAAGTAGTTATTTCTTTTCGATTTTTTCTTTCATTGTTTTCCTGCAGTTCTTGTTTTCCTCTTTGACAACGCAATTAAATTTACGTACATCCCTACAGACATGTCTGTCAGAAGTTGTACTTTAACACACAAGTACTAACACGTATACAGTCATATTTATAACGATTTGTACATCAAAAGGGTAGATACGTAAGAATCGCGCATATAAGAGTAATAGAAATTTTACAAGAATACATCGTTACATATTGAAGAAAGTAATCCATACATATTTATTAAAGTTAGAATGGAACAAGGCAATGTGTGAAACAGCGAAGATGGAAATCATTACAACAATAATGGTTAAGTGAGTCTAGGTTTTATCAGCAAATGTTCCGCGTGAATTCGTGATCCCGTGTATTTTAACAAAGAAAGCCTTCAGAGATTGTATCTAATTTTTTTAACCAGTGACAATTACTTGTAGTTGTTTGATTTCTGCCCAACACACAGATACTTAGAAATGGTCGTCTCTATTTTGACAAATCTTCCAAGAGGGAAGACCCGGTGGGAATACACAGTAAGCGTTTTCTATAAAATATGGTTATTTTCGAGTCAAAGAATTCCATTAAATTGTCTATTCAGAAAGCAACAACGCACTACTTTGCGGTATCCTGTGAGGGTCGAAATTATTCAGTCTGCCTCTCTTACTGTCTCTCTATCTGTTTCTGTCTGTCTCCGTCCCTTCCCCCCTTTCTCTATTTGTATGTTTTTGACCCCTGTCCCTTCTGGATGTGAGCGACGACCACTTTACATATCTTTCTGTTTTGCTGCAGCTTTCTGCAACGCTTTGTCATTTACGCCGACTCATAACTTTGTAGCGAATGTTCTGTCATCTTTGCTCAAGTACCTTTTTTGAAAGCTGGGCTAGAAATATCGTGACTTCAGAATATCCACTGAGACTAAAATTCATCAAAAATTATTTCTTATGTGTAACAAACATTTTAGATATCACCTTCTGATTATTAATTTTATTGTAGATGCTATACGTTCGTTTCTCATTTTCTGCCAATGCCAAACTCTATCAAAGCGAATATTTGTTACTCTCTGTCTTCTTTTGATAAGAAAGAAAGCTGTACTTTATTCTAAATAAGAGTATCGATACTGCATATCAGTGCAGCGCTTTCTCCCATTTCTATAGACAGTCTTATATGCTATAATAACTTGCTTAGTTTCTGAAAACGTTCACTTTTATTGCTATGCGCCTCCTGACAATCACAATGCAGTCTTGATTTGTATGTCGAATCTATCTATCTATCAACCTATCTGTTTTTTTTTTCTATCTGATTTTTTTTTTTTAACATATTTCGATTTGCATTATATTTTTTCGTCTCGGATACTACCTGAATTTTACCAAAAAGAAAATAGTTTCCATGTCTGATGATGACCGGAGGAATGTCCAAAGTACTTGCATATTTAAGGAAGACAAAATACAATTATTATTTTAAATAACAAGGATCATAACATTTACTGAGTGGTTAGTGGCTTAATGTCTCTTTAAAATTTTATTAGCGAAGTTAATTCCCTATTTTATATCATTAACTTTACTAGTTTACTTTTTGTATGAATGATACATTGTAATATAAACTGCACAATATCTTTGGCACACACACACATGGTGCACGGCATAGATGTATATTTATTTTAGGTAAACACACAGTGACTGAGAGTAATCGATTTGCTTTATCGAAAAGTCTTGCATTATTAGCAGTAATAGTCACTGTTTCCAAACTCACACTTCCTTCCCAGAGAGCTCAACCGAAATATTTTTTTAGGAGCATATATATTTTCATACACAGACAAATTGTTTCGCTTTATCACAGCTCATCGGCGTGTTAGACGTCCGGTTGCCTCTAGCTAGGATCGCAACCCGGCTGAATTGGTGTCAGTCGGAGATTCTGCTCTTAAACCGTTGGCGCACGGCGGGGATGAAGGTGAATTTAAGCGTATTTATTTTTGGATAAACACACGGTAACTGAAAGAACCCGATTTGCTCTACCGAAGAGTCTTGCATTATTAGCAGTAATAGTCACTGATTACAAGCTCACAATTCGTCCCCACAGAGCTTAACTGAAGTAATCTTTTTCAGGAGCATATATACGTAAATGCATATATATATATATATAAGCTTAGATTGGATTAAAAAAATATGTATCAATATTGTGATATTCTTTCTGCGTTTAATGATAATGTTATTGTGGGGGTAACACAACAACTCAACTGATAATAGCAAGTAGGAACAAAAAACCGCGAGGAGGGTAACCGCCAAAACCGGTGCCACACGTCCAACCTTCTCACAAGCCAAAAGCCCTCTGATCCGAAACAGAAAAAAAAACGCGCCTGCTTTATACAGCCGAGGACCGACCACGATGTGCATGCGAATGACGAGACAACGAGATTTCGCGTTAACTAACCGAGACCGCCCGGCATAAAACATGGGCGCCGCCATTTTGGTTTGTTTTGCCGCTAGCAGACCGGAGTTTGCATACCGCACAGATTCGCAGGCGTTTCCGAGGGAGGCCATTTTCACAATTCTCCCCCCCTGATCTCATGATCACAAACAGGGCAAGAAGGTGGCAATCGTCGACGTCGAGTCCCCCCCCCGAAGGGGGACAACACAAGCTTCATCCTCATGTGTGTTCTCGTCTGTGGTTTGAGTGTCGGTAAACACTGTGTCCGCCGGGAGGCTGCTGTTATCAGAATCACTGCCCTGCAGGTCTAACTCCAAGCAGATCGAACGCTCACTACTCTCAGACTCGGAATCGCTTTCATCGCTCAGTAACGGTAGTGATTGCATCACCGGTCGCAAGTCTTTAATGTGACGAGGCACCCCGTCAACTCTCACTGATTGCGGGCTGATCACCTCCGTAACACGTCCAGTGCCGTATTTTGTCGTACACTTGCCGCGTGGGTTTTTGACCGAAAAAACGTCTCCTTTTTTCAATCTCCCTCCAGTCACTTCTAGTTCAGGCAGCGGGTTTGCTTCGATGCCTTTCACTCGGACATGATATTTGTGCAGTGCATCAGCCGGCGCCGTGGATAGTGAAACGTTATCTTTCAGGGCGACATTATACCAGTAAACCGCCTCCGATACTGTACAGCCCTTCCTGGCTGCGATGGTCTTGACGGTTCTGTGGTTTCGCTCCACGATGCCATTTCCACTCGGCGAGTAGGCACATCGAAACCGCAAATGCACGTCCCAATTGCCCGCAATTTTTTTAAAGTCCCTACTGGTGAATGCAGTATCGTTGTCGGTCAGTATTTCCATGAGTGGGCCTCGCTCCAGGAAAACATTCGAATGACGGTGATCGCATTTTGTCTGCGCAGCGGCCGCCATACCGCAAACCTGGATGGACCACAATCAATAAGCGTTAAAAAATTCTCACCATTGTAGCGAGTTATGTCCATCGCTAGTCTGCTCCAGTTGCTCTTCAGGCTCAGTTCTCCTCTTGCCCAGTGAACGGGTGCCGGATCGATCGACTGACAGGTTGTGCAGGATTTAACGCTTTCTCTGGACACCTGAGGGTCGACTAACCTGGCGAAGTACAGAGTTCGTTTCACGCCTGGATGTCCGCTTTGACGATGGGTATTGGCCACCTGGTCCTCGTCCACTCGTCTCCCTGCCACTGCACAGCTCTCGAGCGCCGGTTCTCCTCTCTTGAGTAGTTCTAGCCACTTGTGCGGTACTCTGGTGAAGTGATCCGCACGGTTCTGACAGGACTGTACGTGTGTCACGTCTATGGTCAATCCATTTTCTTCCACCAGCGATCGCAAAATGCCCAGCCGTCGCCTAACCAGCATCTCGCCAACCGCCCTTGTATTCACCCGTGCCTTCCCGGTCAAGGTGTCAGAAATCCACCGGTGCACACACGCCGAATCAGTAACCAAGTGCAATGTTGTCGCCTCCCACTGGAGAGCTAGATTCACTCCTTTAAGCGCTGCATCGAGTTCAGCCAAAAATTAATATGCCTGGCATCATTAGTCGGACGCAGCCTGCACGCATCTTCTATGACATTTCCGTTCGCTTCCAATGCCACTCCTGTCGCCACGGAACTCGCACCCACCCAGACTGTGATCTTGTCACCACTCATGCACCAGTCTCCTCCAATGGGATCCAGTTCCCGCACTCTACTTAGCATCTCCGCTAGTATGCGACAGAGAGAGGGATCTTTGATGTTATCATCCCATCCATTGGTTGCTGCGGTTGCCAGGCGCTTGACGAATGCAACTGCCACCCTGAGCCATCCACACACGGGGAAATGTCCAACAAGTTTCCCGCACAACGAAAATACCCGCCGCCGGGTCAACACATCAGGGACTTCCGGAATTTGACTTCCTCGTTTCCATCGGAGGGTGCCATTTTCTTCCCAGACTTGCAAGCCAAGAACTCTTGCTCCATCTCTCAGTCACACCGGATCCTTGCATACCAAACCGTAATCCGAAAAGTGTTGTCTTACACGCGATGCAGAAGCCAAAATTACATTAATGAAAATATCATCAACGTATGCTGATGTGGCACTTTCAATTGTGCGGTCTTGCGATGCGATGGCGTCTATAACAGATTTCATAATGAGTCGCGCTACATTTAGCCCAAATCCTAGCCGCTTAAGACAGAAGCGTTGGCCTTTGAAAATAACCGTTTGAAATGGCCACAGCGCTTCGTCGATGTGAATCTGAAGATATGCGTTCCGCAGATCCAGAAGCGACACATTGACCCCCTGCCGCCGCCACGTTCTCAACTTATGTGCGCACACTTCTGCATCGGCAGTAAAAGCATCCAAAAAAGTCGTTCAATTCGCATTAATCGAGTACCGGACGCACCTTCTTTTTCTGCTGCTGCACGACTGCCATCAAGGGAATCAGACCCTTTGAGGTCCCAGTCTTTCCTGGGGTACGGAATCAACCAGCCGTTCACAATCCACTGTTGAAGCTCTTTTTCGTATTTTCCTCTGAT